TCCAGATTAAACAGATGGAGCAACCCTACATTGTGGGTGTAACTGACCTAGCGGTTATAAACAAAGACTACCAACCCACTGTAAAATATTAGGTTTTGCGAAAGAGGGAAAATTTTGAGAAATTTCATTCAGCTCATTTGACATTTGTTAACAACAACAACAAGGGATAGCAATTTATAGCTACAGTAAGAACTGTTCTTTCCATTTCTCTTAACTTTTGAGCGGGATTATATTACGAGGGAGCTAGAATGAAGTGAGTCAAAGCAATTTCCATGTAAGAGACCGATTGATCTCCTCCCACAGATAATTTACAAGCTTGTTTTATCCAGCATCGGTGACGATGCCTCATTCCCGACTTGACCAATAGAGCAGACCAGAACAGGAAGATGAATTAGAAGGCTTGGAAGTCGTGTGCACTAGTACATTTTTCAGGGTAATGTCAACTCATACCAACAATGGAGATGAACATCAACCAGCATTAGGATTGAACTACAAACATTTCTTTCTCGTAGCATTTAGTATATTATTTTTGTTGGGGCATTCGCTTGCTACACTTTTAAAAATAAAAGTGAATTTTCTCAAACCTAATAAAAGGTGGAGCAGCTTGAAGGAATAAACCGGCTGCCACTTACGAAAAAATTAGTAAACGAAGAATCACCTCGTGGTTTCTGCCCAGCAACAGATCGCCATAGCCAGTAAGTACAAGTTCTTCAAGTTTGCCGACATTTCCTGTGTGAATCCAGTCATAGATGTCTTCCTGCGGGAAGGATGCTGAACGGCCTTGTTTTTGTTCGTTATAAACTGCAATTTCAAATGTACACACTCCATGGTATGCTAGTGACGACCAAAAGTTGATTGTTAGGGCTGAACTAGTTTCTATTGCACGATATCAATAGGGAGTTATGTATGTGTGGAAATATCCTAATTTGTATGAGACGTTGGAGGAAGGGTTATATCCGTCTCTCGTTGGCTGTTCCCCTTTGGAGGCGCCTTCACCTCCGTTGGAACACACTTGCTGCTGTTGACCTATTGTATTGCGTCCAGTATACGAGCATTCGAGCATTCGCGCAACCAGCCTGTGACCTTATAACAGTGCTTAAAATCATTATCCAGCTGCTCTCCATTGAATCCGCAAAACCAGGAGGTCCATTTGAGAAGGAAGCTGCTGAACTCGAGAAGGGAAGTAAGGTCTGACGACGACATCCAATGCGTGCTGACTCGAATGTCTTCACCCAACCACTGTTTTTCAAGAATCAAAACGAAATGTCGAAAAACAGGGGTTTGCCAATTCGCATAATCAATATGTATCTGAACCTATTCGTGAACTCTTCGAATTTTCCACTATCTTCCTCAGATCATTTTGCTAATCGGGAAGTTTTTGAGCTTTCTCACGAATTGGGCGTATTCCGACTCAGTGAGGGCACCAAATGGTGCTTGGCGAAGCTAGTTCAGGCCGCCTTGAAAAGACCTGTGAATTCCAATACCGAAGTGGCTCACTTACACCATTTATCAGCTTCACGGAAGTTTACAGGCCTGTCAATAACCATGAGCCAGCTTAAGACACTAGCGAAAGTGCAAATACCCCTCCCAAGCAGAACAATGCCACCAATTCCTCTTTCTTTCTGATCCTAGTGGTCTGCACCATTTGTCAGCAATCTCCATAGAGGCATCGTGATACGCAGTGTGCCACGTCCTATCTCAATAGCACTCCTTATCGTGAAGATGGGGTGTTCTAAGTTGCCCCAAAACAACAAGATGCCAATAAAGGCGCAGTAGGCGCCGCGTTCGAATGACGTAACGCAACTACGCTTTCCCCATTTTCCAGATATCGAGTGTATTCAACGTCTGTCGTTTGAGAGTAGCCCACATTCAGATTATCATTCGCGGGATTTGGCTATGCAGTTCGAGAATCGCAAAGACTAATGCAGCGGTGTGATCTAACCTTGCAGAAGAGTGCGGCTCAGTTGTCCGGACATTAGCTGGTTCATTACCGCGTTGTCCTTCATACTGCGCATGTTCAGACGCTGTCCTTGGGTACGGTAGTAAAACGGTGTGTGACCATGCTGAAAAAGTCATGTGGTACGGTAAGTCGTCTATAACAAAATAGAACTCTATTGAATGGTTAATCAGAAGGATGGAAATTAGGGTAAATCGATGAAGACAAAGCACCTTGTCGTCGATGAATGCGTCTCCGCCGGCTTTTTGTAATACTTTAATCATATGCTCGCCGTTTGGGTCGGCCGCAGCATAGTGGAGAGGAGTACGTCCTGCCTGAAATGAGTGAGATCAGAATGAGTTGCTGTGCAGCTCACTCACGAATTACACAGGTGGACTCTGGAGTAAGTCCGACTCAAGAATGCTCCACCTCTTTTTTAAATCAAGTTGGTAAATGAGTCTTGTAACTGTGATGATTTTTCTTCC